GTCGTTGCAGATGTGTGATCACAGGCTTGTGTGCCTCAGGTTTGGTTTAACCAAGACCTCTGCCTTTTTACGACAGTAATAGTAACAAATAATAAGTGAAAGTTATACATTGGGTTTGTTTTAAAGTATCCGTACATAATGGGAAAGTGGCGTATTCACTCATAAATAATTGTGACGTCCCATACTCAAAGATAATTAAGTAGATCCAAGGTAGTAGGCGAGTCTAAGTTAAACATTCATCCTTGAACAGTTGTCGGTGTGGACACGTGATTGCTCGTGTGCAGCATCAATATCATGAATACAGTTTGTGTCGCGGGAAAGATAACACACAGGCACACCATCAATGGCGGGGTACGAACACAGCCCTCAAGACTACAGCATCTTCGGTGCCCCTCGCTCTCGTGCTGGGTCCGTGGGGGCAAAAATAGGGGACCATGGCGTGGATCGCATGCTTCCACGTCGTGGGAGCTTAGACGTGGATCTTAGCCATTTCAAACTGATGACCCCTCCGACGGCTGACGACGATAACAGTGATGACAAGCCCTCGGTATTCGTACATAAGACACCGCCTACAGACTCCAAGCAAACTGGCAATGGGTGCCAAATAATGAATAATTACCACCAAAAATTTCGGAGATTCAGTCTCGGTGGCGGCCGGAGTGATGGCAGTATCTTACCATTTTCGCCTATGGAAAATGAACGGAAAACAACCCTTAGCACTCCCGGTAAGTGACAGAATTAGGCTTACCACCTGACCACTTCATAAAATAATCATTCCAATTATGACCCTGAGAGAGATGTGAAATTTATTTGCTTGCACATTGATAAATAACAAAATTAATTAATAGAATTGTGCACATCAGTTTTATCTTAGACCAGGTTTGATCGCTAAACAAACAAAAAATTAAATAGTATTAGTAAATACAAGTAGATTAAATACACGCAAAAGCCCATCTACATGTTATGTAGATCACACGCGGCATACCTGTAGCTTCATTTCAAGAAAGTCTTTGAGGGGTTGTCTTTGATAAATGACAAAAAAATGTGTGTGATCTTCAATACTGAAATAGCTTTAGCTGAAACTGACTAGAACTCCGTTTTTGAGTGACGCTTCTTGTATTTTTCCTACCACTGTGAAGGCATTATGAGTAATAATATAAGTAATAATTATGCGCTGATAGATCAAACTATTTTTGTCCTTTACAGTGAACTATCTAGACAGCGTAAGGAAACGTTTAGAGGGAATCTCCTTAGGGAGCAGTCCTTCATCTTCCAGCAAGGTCAGAGAACGAAAACCAGACCAAATCTTGGACATGCCGAATATACGTAACGACCTAAGTAAGTAAAAACCTCAATGTCAATTACGCATTACGTTAGCTATTTACTTTTTGTTTGAAAATGGGGCATTTGTTGATGATTTTTAAATGGTCCAATTAATTGAAATCATTTATACTTCGCACTAACTGGTATTCGGCAAAAAATTTGCAAAAAATAAAACTTATTTCAAGATTTTTCTTCATTCACTGTTAATTTCAACATCGTCATCAGATGTAAACGTGATGGACTGGAGCAGCCAGAACATGATCGGCATTGCGTTAGAGGATCAAGTGTACTGCTGGCGGCGGGACATTGGGGAATGCATACAGGTGCCCGTGGAACTGACGGAAGAGGACGACTACGTCATGGCTTTGGGGTTCAACCCCGATGGTTCTTTACTTGCTTTAGGTTCCACACCCGATGACATAGAGGTAGGAATTTTGACTATTATAGTCATAACTTCTAAAGTGTATTCTTTTAAGATGTAATCATGCAAAACTTCTTACCTCAGGCCTTTTAAAAAAGCAACAATACTCTTCAAATAAAACTTTACATAAAAATATTACTCGTATTATTTGTCCAAGAATAAAAGTACCTGTGGTCGTCGTTTACATGTATCATACAGGAAGACATGAGTGCCTAGGGCTCATTGCCAATGAAACTATGAGTCTACGAGGCGTGTAAATATGTTTAACTGAGTGCATCCAGCCAACAAGATTGTCAATTCTTGGGAGATTGATGCTGGTAAAAATTTGATTTTACGATCCCGTTGTTAACAATGGCTATTTAATTCTAAAGAATGGATTTTTTTAGATCTGGAATTTAGAAAAGATGAAAGTGGTACATAACATCAGATCACACAGTTGTGCAGCTGTGAGCTTGGCATGGAAAGGGACAATATTGGCAAGGTAATTTTTTCAATAAATTAAAAATCACGACTTTATCAATTTGAAAATTGCAATAGTCATTAAGTAAAAATAAGAGTCTGCCGTGTCCCTTTATTTGGCAGTATTAAATGCTGATATATATGTTATGGCCTCTGCCACGACCACTCCCTCCGATACACAGTTTATTATTATTATTATTATTATTATTATTATTATTATTATTATTATTATAAATCTGCCCCTAATAATGTCCATAAACCTGAAAGACATTATTTTACAGTGGTGATGCTGATGGTAACATCCATCTCCATGACACCCGGGCCCCGACCCCCATTGCTACCAACAAAGACCACACGTGGGTGTGCAATCTTCGGTTCAGCCCAGACGGCCGCTATCTTGCCAGCGGTGGCAAGGACAGCACGATCTGCATCCGGGAGATGAACGAACGTAGACTGTATCAGAAAATACCAGCGCACAACTCAGCAGTGAGAGTAAGTCACCAAACTGCTAACCGACTTGTATGAGAATATTTTTGAAACGATATGATTTTGTTTTTAAAGAAAGATGTAGTTTACACTTGCGTTCTCTCTCCATATCTCCATACACACCCTCATCAAATATGGTTTTAAACAATTTTCAAAAGCATGTTTTCACATTCAAATTTTAATCCCGTTAGCGTTAAAATCACGACATTTGGACTCCTAAATCCGTCTGACTTTAATTGCCAGTGCCCACCGACTGTATACAATATTTGCTTAAATTGATATTGTAGATTTTTAAAAATATTTTTACTTCAGGCCCTGACATGGTGCACAGGTCTACACAGTATTCTTGCGAGCGGAGGAGAACTTGGGGATGGAAGCATCCGTTTGTGGAATGTTAACAGTGGCTTGAAACTAACGGAAGTGGATACCGACTCTGGGGTAGGGTCAATTGAAGCTATTGGCTTTAACGCTTCTCAAAATCCATTCACTGTCTTTTACTCCCTTAATTAAAGAAAGTACGTTTTACATTTTGATTAAAATGTGTCACATGACGACTAACTTAAAACAGTCTTTTAGATACCCTGTTTGAAAATCATATTTGGATTGAAGCCCAGAAAAAACCTAAACTAAAAATATATTTTAGTGCCTATCGTCCTCCTTTAAGTGTAAGTCGTCGTAACGTTTTGTGTTGTTACGGATTCTCATAGTGAACGAATCATACTTCGATTTTTCTCTCAGATCACTTGTATGCTGTGGAATACCAACGATCAAGAATTGATCACCGGTCACAGAGGAACCAAGCATAACCTGGTGGTCTGGAAGAACCCCAGTCAGCTACATCCTGCTTTGTATCTGGATGGGGAAGAAGAGGGTATACTTCACGTAGCGCTTAGCCCAAACGAAGAAACATTAGGTGGGTATACCTCTGGTCTCTGTTATATAGACTGAGGAGAACTTTCCCATATGGCAGTTCACTACAAATTACCTACATTTAGTATTTACCGATAGGCCTACTATTTTCTCTTATTAGAAAATTGTGAAAATGATTAAGAAGAATAACAGTCACTAATTGGCCTCTCGCTGTAGCTGTCGTTGAAGTTAGTTATATAATTGATCTTGGCAAAATTAGCTGCTGTTTCAAGTTGGCTTCACAAAATATGCCATGTATATAAATTTGAATTTATAATGTCTGACAGAATGTGATTTTATACGTGGAAAGTTCCATGTCGAATTTTTATGGTTTGAAAGATACAAAAATATGTCTTTATCACGTAATGTTTTCTGTTGTCACACATTTTACGTTCAGAGAATAATGAAGAATTTAAAACGGTACGTCATTGACCTTTATTTCAGCGTCAGCATCGCCAGATGAGAAAATGCGCTTATGGAACTGCTTCGGCGACGCGAACATAAAAAAGAAACAACGGTGTTGCCTTGGTTCTCCAACGACATCAGCATTACTGCGGACCATACGCTGAAAAAAAAGAGGTGCTGAATCAGTCGTAAACTACAATAGAATAACCTACAGCATTAAAAATACTATGCATTTACTTAATGGCCAAAAAGATAGTAGATGATTATACGTTTAGTTTGTAGAGAGCAGACCTAAAAAAAAAAACGTAGCACAATCGAAGAATGAGCATATATAGTAGTAATCAAGATGGAGGGCTCGTCACTGTAGTTGGATTAGAACTTTCGTAATGAACCGTGTTCATGATCGTTAATTATACGTTATTTGCTTCCAACTGTGTAAGTGATGTTTAATTATACATGTAATTTGGCTACCAATCTACTTGTTATAAACATATTTGAATTGAGCAGATTCTATTTATGCCGTTTTATACTTGTTGAAACGACTTTGTGTAGCAGTTCTTGTTCGTTCGCACTTTCAAGTTTATAATAATTACAAACCTTTGTAAAAACTGAATCGTCTTTTTGGTTGCTTTATAAATATTTCGACTTCACCTATGTTAACCCTATGCATAAGAATTTTAGTTTATCTTTTCAACATCTCTGCCATCTCGATGCCCTCTTACAAGTTAACGGTCGCAAAGCTTTCCAAATAGCCACTACTTACACTAAGATTCTAAGCCATCGTCCCCTCCACAGTGGCGTAATGATAGTTTCATTCTACTAATAAATGAGGCAAATCAAGGAGTTATACAACTCCTTGGGCAAATTAACCGCTCTGAAAATAGTTATTTAATTTTTGACCAAGACCGAGGACAGTTTTCTTCACAAATCGCAACAAATACCACAGCTACAGTATTTGGAAGGAAACCAAAGTCCACTTGTTGTAGTCTTAATAATTTTATTGCGGGGTTGGCAAATGATGAAACTGAAAACAGTTCCCACACAAGGGATGGGGAAAATGCTAAAAATTGAAAATTCTTTCGAAAACAAAAAACGGAATCTATTGGCGACATTACCTTCACATAACATTTGCGCCCCGAATTCTAAAAATCTGCTAAGAATTTAATGAAAGTGGGTATAATAAAAATCAAAATTACAAAAAGGTTCAGTTAAACTCTGGAGCAGTTCCCCATAATGCTGTAGCATTGTTTTATAGCTTCTTGACAGTTATTATAATCCTGCCAGGGTCTAACCACCAGCTTCTCTAGCAGTCTAATATGACTAAGCAATATGGGCAGTGCCGTTTTTGCATCTGCATTCCGCAGTAATTTTTCCATTGCACTACTAAAAAGCTGCTCAGATCTTTTCAAAACCTGGACCTTAGCTGTAAGATTTTGCTCTTTGTTACATTTAATGCACTTAGAGGTGACTCCCGACATTGCGTTGAGAAGCAATGGGGCCGCACAACTACCGCATTTGAAAATGGGAACTGTGTTTGGGAGTTGATCATACTGCAACCAGTTCTCAGCACAGGGTTGGCACTGGCAAATGAAATAATATTGTTCCTTAAGCTTTGCACGTCTTTCTGGGGTAGCTGATATGGCACATAAAGCACCATAATTATCGGACACTTCACTGCCCTTTGGCACATTCCGTATGGCACGAACTATACACACGTCTCCTAAGAAATTCCTGGTCACTGCAGGATCACACGAGTGGTTGAACAAGCTCATCATTGCATAGATGGCAGCACCTATTTCCTTAGTTGTTGAAGTAGCTACATTATCAGGGTCAAGCTCCAGTTCTGAGATTTCGTGAGCATTGCAAGGTAAATTTTGCAAATGACGTAAAATCAATCCACCGAAATAACAAAGAATAGATTTGTCCACATCTTTTTCCTGGAAAAATGGCGACTTTTGCAGACATTTTAGAAGGAAAACTGACATGATGGTGCGACGAAATAGATCATTCACTGCTCTGTCTTCTGAGTGAGTGACAAGGTTGTAGATCGTTGTATAGTTATCCGACCTATACTGCCCTTTCTCATCGAGACCCCAATCTAATTCACAACAATCGCCCACCCCCTTGTGTTGGACTAGTTCTCTGAATCCTAACAGAAACTCATAACCTGCCACAAGCACCACTCTTAAAGCTAGGTGACCCATGCCACCAATGCCACTCTGCTGAATAGTGTCCAAGTAAGGGCATTCAAACTGATGAAACCTCAACCATCCAGACTGTTTGCATTCCTGACTGCAGTATCTAACAGTGCTGCACTCACTGCAGGGTATGGGGGCCACAAGTTGTTTGAAACAGCTGTGACAATGGCTAACACTGTATGGTTTCAGTAACACCGAGGCAAATGGTTTCTCTATCACAAGGGTGTCTCCAACTTGTATGTCACAAGTGGCCACTGGAAACCTGCCTAGTGTAGGGGCAGTGGTCACATCTAAGGCACTGGATGCTGACAAGTACTTCTGGCTCTGTCCATGAGATAAAACAGGCATGGGCATTGAATCATCAACTGAGTCAGCTGCAGGGCACTCACTGTCCGGTGAGGAAATATCTAATTGTTTTAACTGCTTCTCAATTTCTTGTATAAGCGATTGTTTTTTCTTACTATCAGCAGTACTAAGCTCAACCAGTTGCTTTGCTGTATGAAAACTCTCACATGCCTTGCCCTTTTCCTTCAGCTTGCTATAGCATTTTCCCTTTCTTTCTTCTAGTTTATACTTAAGCTCATCAGGGTAGTTATTTTCCAAAGACTGTTCAATATCCTTGAGGCAAAGGAAATATTCTTGCATATGGAATAAAACAGCAGATCTGTTGGCCAATGCCAGAGACAGATCACTTTCACCGGGTTTATCACAAACGGGAGGTGCAATAATAACACTTTCATTGTAAGCCTCCAGTGCCTTTGCATAGAATTTCTTCTGAAACAACTGATTCCCTTTCTTTCTTAGTTTAGTTGATGTCTCTGATGATTTTAAGCTAAGAGAGGGTTCTACTTGAATTGTTTCATGAAGGCAAGGAAGATCCCACACAAAGGAAAATCTTTCTTCGTCACTTTTTTGTTGGCCAAAGGCAGCTGAAATTTCCTGCAACTGGCTGCCATCTTTCAGGGTTTGACAGATTCTGTCATACCAGGTATGAAATATACCCTTTTTCTCCTCCACCTCCATTGTATTGTTACTGAAATGAGAAAAAAAAAGCATTCAAACAGTGTCCCCTGCTACAACAATATTGTGTTATATTACATTTTGCATTTTATTGCACCTTATCAAAACACAGTCATTGTCCGTATAATTTAACCTACCGCGGTACCTCTGTTTGCTAAATACCTTATACATTGTGCCGGTAGTGAACAAGCATGTGAAACTCGAGTAATCTGAGATGATAAAATCTAGTGCAGGTACCCATGTAAGGGCATCGCGAAATAAAACTGGTACTAGTAGTAGATAGCAATTCATGCAAGTACCATCTTACACACTATACCTTCTGGATATTCCGCCGTTCCATGAGCCCAGTATCGCCTGGACCACGTGTACTCAGTAGACACAAATACAAGATGCTCAGAATCAATTCTCAATGCATTCAGCACACTACTAACGCAGACAACTGGCAGACGTCATCATGCATGGAGCACTCTCTCCCACCTATGGGAATGAAAAGTTACTACATGCGAATGAATGGCCCTCTATCGGTGAAATACCCACGCTAAACTCGCCGGTGGGAAGCGTTTGTGGTCACATTGTTGTGATTTACATGTGAATCATATATAAAACTATTAAATGTAGTGTGTTTGACAGCGCAGATTGTATTATAAAACACCGAGAATGTGTTCAGAGATTAAATAAAGAAAAAGGTTTCTGTTTATGTACTTTGTGTCCACTTCGACATGTGGAATCATAGGCGCAGCCATATTGTAAAGCACAAGCACCTGTTCGGTTGCTTCCGTAGAGAAATAATAACCAATCACAAGAGCTCGTTTTCCCGCCGAGCCGGCCCGAAGATGCACTTTATGCCTTTGCGGGAGTAGGAAGTTCATCCGATTTTTTTTGCAGTTGGTTGCATAGGTAAAATATGTATTTATTAAGTTTTTTTATAGAATTTTTAAAGTTATCTACATATGGCTTATCAAGAGCAGTGCGGAAAACTACGACCGAGTTTGTTTGAGTAATGAGACCAACATGGCTCCCAAATGTGGCCGTGTGATTTGATTAGCTTCTGCACTTCGTCACATTAAAATTCAGATAAAAATACGTCTATACAGAGGTAACGACAAAATGTTATGATATCTGAAATTTGAAGTGTAACCTTGCTTTAATAGTGTTTGTTTTGATTGACGCATATTATATGTTTGGAAATGATTTAAAGACGGAGATTTCACTTTTGACCTAAACAATGCTTTGTCAGTTTCAGGTCATGGCTGTTGTCTGTAGCCCAGGGCCAGCTGTTGCAATTAAAGTT